CGGCACGCGGCGCGCGCACCCGCCTCCACCCGCCTCCCCGGGCGCGCGCGGAGACCGTGCTGCGCCCGCTTCTGTTCTAGACGCTGGGCGGCGGAGTTCGACCAGACGGAGCGTCGGTGAGCTCAGGCGCCTACCCGTTAGTGACGAGGATAGCGAAGAGGAATCAAAGATACCGGGTAATCACAGTTTGGATGGCAGGTGTTAAGAAGCAGCAGAGCGCAGAGTGGGCATCTGCGTCTCTATTTTTGAAGGAAAAAAAACCATTTTTTTTTTTTGGATGAATAGCAACAACAAAGCCCTGCTGATGTGGAACATAAAAAATATGATTTGTCATTTTTAGATGTCCCTTTGCTTTGCCTCGTCCTCTGGAAGACATAGCACAACTTTACAGGGATACCTCCTCACAATCCAGTGAGACCGGTGCTGGTTTTGTCCCCATTTCACAGAGGCGAAAACTGAAGCTCGGCCAGGTGAAGTCACTTGCCAGAGGTTACACAACCTGTAGGTGCAGAGCCGGACAAATCCACATCTGAGTGCAAAGCCAGTGCTGTTTCAATAGCCTCTCTTCCTCCTGTCCAAGTTGTGTGTAGGTTTTCCTCTGGTAAGGTGGTTTCCTTGCGAACAGAAAAATGTCTGGCCCATATTTGTATTCCTCTGTGGCACCCACCATTGTCACTCAACACATGAAGACACTTGTGGTGGGGATGTGGCACATTTAGAGTTCTAGCCGTAAAACCTGGCTATATGTGGGCTGTGAGCCCCATGAGCCATCTGGACTTTCCCTGTGCCTACCGACATAGTGGGGATTTGCTGCCTAGGATTTCTGGGTATAGAGCCTCAGCATCCTAGAGACAAAGTCCCCCATTCCCAGAGACCCATTTCAGTCCCGCTTGTTTCCCAGGGACCCTGCCACCTCCCACCGCACCCAGGAGCCTTCTCTCACCACCCTGCTCCTCCTTCCCAGAGCAGCTCCGAAAGGAACAGGTGGTAAGCATTTTGAGATCTTCAGAGAGAGGCAGGGCTGTTGTAACCACAGAGCATTAGAACTGGAAGGGGCCCAAGGGGTGATGTAGTCTGTGCCTTGTACCCCACTCCTGCCATTGGCCCTGGGTAGCAGCAGCTTCAGATCAAGGGGGAGGCTGGTCCCTAATTGTTACACTCAGTGATGATTATGAAGTCAGCCCATTGCACCCCCATCCCACGCTAACTAAGGGTGGGTCCACTGCCCCCAGTTTCTCTCTGCTTCCTGTCAGCTGCGTAGTGACGGCTGTGGTCCCAAACAAACGAGATGGCATCAGAGACACTATGTAAAGTGGGAGATGGGGAGGAGGCCATGCTGCAGAAGGAAAGCCTCAACGTTCTGAATGCACTCGATCAAATGTCGAAGCCCTTTCCAAACCCCAAGTCTATGAACAGGACCGTCACTACCAAAGGACTCCCACTTTCCGCAAGGGGCAGTTTGGTTAACTTCTTGCAGGAAGATACCATCAATCTAATGTAAGACACAGTCTGGTCCTTTCCTCCTTTCTAAGGCCAGAGTGGAGGGGCGGGGAGAGGGGCTTGAAGAAGCAATGAGGCTTCCTTGGCCTGTCACAACCCATCCCTGGACTCCCCGGGGAGAGCACGTGTGTAGGTTGCACTATGGAATCCTGATCCCAAATCAGTTCTCGGAGGCTTGGAGGCCTTCTGCTCCAGAAGGCCTGGTTTTCGTCAGAGCTTTGTGGACAGTACTTCTCCTCCTGCTTAGTCCAGCTGTGGTCCTTACCAGTCCCACACACCCCCATTGAGACACCGCATTCCACTCCCCGATGGCGCCTCTTCCTCATTCCTCCCTTTCGCTGTCTTTACCTGCCTGATTAGGTCCCCCCAATAGTCTGCCTGCCTTCAGCCTGAAGTTTACTGTTCCTCCTTATGATTTTGGGTTCTCTTTAGCTCATTCCACAAAACTCTGAGCACCTGCCGGGTGTCTGGCCCAATGTCAAGTTCTGGGAATGCAGAGCTGAAAAACAAACCCCCTGCCTTCACGGAACTCTCTGCCTGGGGTGTGTGTGTGTGTGTGTGTGCATGTGTGTGTTGGGGGATGTTAGGTGAGAAGCAAGAATAATACGACATGGTCTGTACTACGACAAGACACCTTGAGGAACCAGAGGGGGCTGTCAATGTCTTGAAATTCTTAATAATTTTGAAGAAGGGGCCCCCACAAACTATGTAGCTGGTCTTGATTACTTGAAAGGGATATGGCGTCCAGTTCCTAAGGGACCTGTAAATAAGCAGGGATGGCTAAAGTGACAGATGCTTGTAGGAAATGTCATGGTAGGAAAATATTGGGCTAGGAGCCCAAGTTCAAATCCAAGTTCTACCACTTAGATATATGACTGTAGACAAGTTAATTAAGATCAGGGACCTTCAGTACCTCATTTGCGAAATGGGGCTTAACACCCATCCAGCAGGGCTGTCAGGAAGATCATAAAAAATTTTTGTCAAACATATAGCTCAATGCTTAGCTGCTTTCTGTGCCCATTTCAGCACTCCTGTTTTGTGGGGGGTTTTTTGTGTGTGTTTTTAAAAATATTTATTTATTTATTTATTTTAGAGAGAGGACACACATGAGTTGGGGAGGGGTAGAGGGAGAAAGAGAATCTCAAGCAGACTCCCCACTGAGCAGGGAGACCGACCCAGGGCTCGATCCCACGACCACGAAATCATGACCTGAGCTGATATCAAGAGTTGGGTGACGGACATTAAGGAGGCCACGTAATGTAACGAGCACTGGGTATTATACAAGACTGACGAATCACTGAACTCTACCTCTGAAACTAATAATATGCTATATGTTAATTAATTGAATTTAAATTTTAGAAAAAAGAGTCAGATGCTTAACTGACTGAGCCACCCAGGCGCCCCAGCACTGCTGTTCTGAATAAGTGAATATAAAATAGATTCATGGGACGCCTGCCTGGCTCAGTCAGTAGAGCATGAGACTCTTGATCTTGGGGTTGTGAGTTCAAGCCTCACATTGGGTGTAGAGATGGGTTTAAATTTTTTTTTTAATCTTCAAAAAAATAAATAAAATAGAAATTCATTAGGACAACCTGAAGTATAAATGATGTTAATACTCAGACTCTTCAGCCTACAAAAGACCCTTGATGAGGGAGTCATCTATGCCAATGTTTACCAAAGGCTAGCCTAGGAGCTTTGGGCTGATCAGGATTTCTCAGCAGGCAGTCTTTGGGGCTGGAGCTCAAGAAAAATTTGGCCCATCCATCAGCCATGAAGCCCATCCATCAACCATGAAGCAGGCCTGGAGTGAGGGATCCGGGGTTGTGTATTGGTTGTTGGATCTGGCCAGAGCAGCCGGGGGTGGGGGGGGGCAGAATGGGGTAGGAAGCAGAGGAGAGGAGCCAGAATGTTCCAGAGGCAGGTGGGAGCTGTGTAGCATGGGACCCAGGAGATCTGGGTTCTAGTTCCAACTCTGCCTTCAATTCACCATGTGACCTTGGTCAAGGTGCTTGGTTCCTAAAGGCCCAGTGACTGTTCTTGCTATACCACTGCTCTTCAAACTATGGGTTGTGATCCGTTAATGCCTTAGGAACTCATTCTAGTTAATGGAGACCAGCGTTATAAAAATGAAATAAAAGAATAGAAAATCCAGGGGTGCCTGGCTGGCTCAGTCAGAAGAGTATGTGACTCTCTGATCTTGGGGTTGTGAGTTCGAGCCCCACATTGGGTGTAGAGATTATTTAAATAAATAAAACTTAAAAAAAAATTCCAGAGCACATCACACATAGAGTAAGTACTGGTTTGTGAAATGTGTTTTAGGGTTTTTTTTTTTAAGATTTTATTTATTTATTTTAGAGATAGAGATAGGGATAGAGAGAGAGATCGCACATGAGTGGGGGGAGGAGTGGAGGGAGAGGGAAAGCAGACTCCACTCTGAGCACAGAGCCCAATGTGGGGCTCGATCCCATGACCCTGAGATCATGATCTGAGCTGAAATCAAGAGTCAGCCACTTAGCCGACTGAGCCACCCAGGCGTCCCGTGTTTTAGTTTTATGTGTATGTTTCAGTATACTAGGTAATATGTATTTATTTTGGGTCAAGGTAAAAAAAAAGATTTGAAAGCCAAACTTTTTAGATTCTGTGCTTTATCAGTAAATAAAATAAAATAAATAAATAAATAAAATAAGGAAACACATACAAGGTTTTTCTTTGTAATAGCCAAGAATTGGTAAAAATACAAATATCCATGTAATGAAAAATGTACAACAGTTAAAATGACTGAACCAAAGCTACATGTGTCAGTACAATGTTGGAGCACATGGCTTGCTCAGTCGGCAGAGTGTGTGACTCTTGGTCTCGGGGTTGTGGGTTCGAGCCCCATGTTGGGTGCAGAGATTACTTAAAAATAAAGTCTTTTTAAAAAATAAAATTAAATAAACCAATGGGGAGTAAAACAAAACGAGCTGCTGGTGAATATGTATTGGATGATACCATTTATTTATGTGAAGTTTTAAAATATGCAAAATAATAGTCGATGTTGCTTAAGGATAGCAGACATCACTCACAAATCTATAAAGACACATGTATAATGATACACACAAAATCTGAAATGTGCTGTACTGGTTACCGTGGAGTAGGAGGATGCGAAGTGAGATGGGGGACAGAAGTGTCCAGCGGGCTTTAGCTATACTGGTGAGGTTGTAGTTCTGAAATTGGATGGTGGCTAAGTGGAAGCTTAATATCTCATTCTTTATTTTCTCACTTTATCATATATTCATTTCATTTTTTTCCAGTTTTATTGAGATACACTTGGCATATAACATCATATCAGTGTAAGATGTACAACATGATTTGGTAGGTGTGTAGTGAAGTGGTTGCCCCAATAAGTTCTGTTTCCATCCGTCACCACACATGGTTACAGATTTGCCTCTTGCGATAAGAACTTTTAAGATTCGCTCTCTTAGCAAGTTTCAAATAGACAATATAGTATTTTTTTTTTTGAAGATTTTATTTATTTGACAGAGAGAGAGCGAGCACAAGCTGGGGGAGCAACAGGCAGAGGGAGAGGGAGAAGCAGAACCCCGCTGAGCAGGGAGCCTGATGCGGGGCTCAATACCAGGACTCTGGGATCATGACCTGAGCCGAAGGCAGACACTTATCCGGCTGAGCCACCCAGGTGCCCGACAATATAGTTATCATACTGTATGGTATGTCCCCGCTAATGTATTATTCTTTTTTTATATAAGGTTTTTTTTTTTTAAGATTTTTATTTATTTATTTGACAGAGACACAGCGAGAGAGGGAACACAAGCAGGGGGAGTGGGAGAAGGAGAAGCAGGCTTCCCGCAGAGCAGGGAGCCCGATGCGGGGCTCGATCCCAGGACGCTGGGATCATGACCTGAGCCGAAGGCAGATGCTTAACGACTGAGCCACCCAGTCGCCCCTAATGTATTATTCTTGATTATCTTGTGTATGTCTAAAATATCTCATAGTTTAACAAAATTTGGATGGAAGTTTTTATTTTTATTTTTTTTTAAAGATTTTATTTATTTATTTGACAGAGAGAGAGATAGTGAGAGCAGGAACACAAGCAGAGGGAGTGGGAGAGGGAGAAGCAGGCTTCCTGCCGAGCAGGAAGCCCGATGCGGGGCTCAATCCCAGGACCCTGGGACCACGACCCAAGTCGAAGGCAGACGCCTAACCATCTGAGCCACCCAGGCGTCCCTGAAGGAAAAGTTTTTAAGCATCTACCCCAATATGTGTAAATCTATGTGTATTATTGGTAATTTACATGGTACATATTAATAGTGTTAAATGTTAGAACATCTAATTAGTAATTACTGTTAAACAGTAGAAGTAAATATGAGTAAAGCTTAATTATTTTTCTTTTAGATACTTTTAGATATTTTTCCATACCTCGCTAGACTGGCTGGGCATTCCCCCAAGAGTATTTGCACCCCACTTTGGAAGGAGGATTTAAGCTGTGAGCGGTGTTTCTCAAATTGTGGTTCTCTGAATACATGCCTCTGAATTGTCTAAAGATCTTTTTTTTTTTTTTTTGACATGTCTAAAGATCTTATTAAAGATTCTTTAGCAGCGGTGCCTGGGTGGCTCAGATGGTTAAACGTCTGCCTTCGGCTCAGGTCATGATCTCCAGGTCCTGGGATCCAGCCCCATGTCAGGCTCCCTGCTCAGTAGGGAGTCTGCTTCTCCCTCTCCCTCTGCCTCTGCCTCTCCCCCTGCTTCTGCTCTCTTTCTCTCTCTCAAATGAATACATAATATTAATTAAAAAAAAAAGATACTTTAGCAGCTTTCCCAGTCCCATCCCAAAGTAGGGCAGGGACCAGGAATCTGCATTTTCCAGTAAGTGCCCTGGTGGGTTTGATGCCCTGCTACAGGGTGCTAAGGATGTTCCGAGCTATTCAGAAGCAGCTGGGGATTCTGGCGAGTCAGGCACAAGGCCTGCCTTCGGAGAGCTTCCCGGCTGTGCGGGCCGGGGTGGTCTCCCTCATCAGGCTCCCCTGTCTCCCTCCCACTCAGGAAGCCGATGCCAGTGGAGGACTCTGAATGCAGTTCTGACGACACCAGCATCTCCCCCATCTCATCCACCTTGCTGAATCCCATCAAACTGGCTGTGACCCAGCCCAACAGCAGCTTCTTCGCAGGGATGCTGGAGAGTGAGCTGAATAAACTCAGCTTCTCCTCGGTGGGCAAGGATACAGAAAAGAGGGACCTGGCCCTCTGCCCCCACCAGTCGAAGTCCCAAATCACCCCTGGGGGCCTGCTGGACCTTGACAACCCTGAGCTGGACACAGACACCTCCTCGACCCCCTCAGAGTCCTCTGTGGTCATGGACGTGCCGGAGGCACCCTTCATCTGTGAACACACTGTCAGCGATTCCACGGCTGTGGTACGTTTCCCTCTTGGTGCATTCAGCGCAGGCTCCCTGGCCGCCCCCGTCTGCCAGGCACTGAGCTGAGCTCCATAGGGAGTGTGAAGACACCTACCACCTGCATCCTGACCTCAAGCTCCTGGCTCAGGAGAGAGGCCCTGTCTGTAAGGAACTCCAGTGCTAGCTGGAAATGGGTGTGGTGCTGTAGGAAGAGTTCAGACCGAGTGCCACGGGGATCTCAGAGGGAAAGAAACATTACTTCCAGGTGCAGGAGTAAGCTTGGTGGCTTTGGTTAACATTTGAGCTGGGATACAGAGGTAGGATGTAAACATCCAGGGATGGGAGAACGGCATTCCAGGGAGGGGCTGATATGAGCAACGTGTGGGAAAATGTGGGAGCAAACAGCCAGGTCCCAACCCAGGGCTTCTCGAACTTTTCTGTGCCTATGGATCCAATCATCTTGTTAAAAATGAGATTCCTGGGCCTCATCCCTAGAGATTCTGATTCAGTAGGTCTGGGTGGGGCCTGAGAATTTGCACTGCTAACGTTGCCAGATGGTGCCGATGGCCCGTGGACCCCATGTTGAATAGCACTTGTCTAGAGTCCAGGACAGGGAAGAGAGGGGCGAAGTTAGTCCAGAGGCATTTTTTCAGAGGTCCTACAATGTTAGGCTACTACACAGATTTTTCCGTAAGCAGTAGAGAACAGCTTTTGCAAAGCTTTATATCCAACAGTGGATGCAACTTGAGCTGTATTTTAGGAAGATAAATCTGGAAGTCCCAGATGAGCAGTGTCTCTCAAAGTGTGGTTCTCAGACCACCAACAGCATCAGCATCATATGGCAACATGTTTGCAATTTAAATTCTTGTCCCCTCCACCTTGGGCCTACTGAATCAGAAACTGTGGGGGCCAGCAATCTATTTTATCAAGTCCTCTAGGGTATTCTGATACACACCCAAGTTTGAGAACCACTGGCCTAGAAGGAGGGGAAACTGGGAATGGAGACCAGACAGGAGGCAGCAGGGCCAAGAATCTGCAGTGTTGTAAAAACTCCCTGAGCTCCTTAGCCAGGCTCGGCAACCACCATCGTAGCCCGAAGTGTGTGGGCTCTGGAGCTACTGTTTTGAACTTTGGCTCTGGCACTCTGTGTGACCCCAGGCCAGCCACTCACCCTCTCTGAACCTGTAACCTCATCTGCAATGAGCAAGGTGGACAAGATGATCTCTAAGGGCCCTCTCAACTAGTCTAGAAGAAATACGGGATGGGGGTACACTGAGGTGGGTGGGGCTGCCCAGGAAACCTTACACCTTGGAAGCCTTACACCTTCCATCAGCCGTGCCTCAGCCCCGGGAGGAGCAGGGGATGGGAGTGGGGCCCTCAGACCCGTGGCTGGGGGTGGGAGGGAGGGGAGGACAGCCTGGAGCAGGTCTGAGGAAGCCTGGGGGGCTCTCTTCCTCTAGATTTCCTGGACCTATGCCCTGGGCAAGCAGCAGGTCAGTTTCTACCAGGTCCTGTTGCAGGAGGTGGCCAAGACAAATGACAATGAGCCACCCAAGGCAAAGAATCGCCCATGGATCTTCAACAAGATCTTGGGCACCACCGTCAAGCTGATGGAACTGAAGCCTAACACAACTTACTGCCTCACCGTCCGTGCAGCCAACACAGCTGGGGTGGGGAAGTGGTGCAAGCCCTACAAAGTGAGCCCTGGGAGAGGAGAGCCCGTGGGGGGGGGGTGGTTGGGGAGCGGCAGGGAGAGAGGTCTGAGCCAGGGGTTTTGGAGGCTGGGGACACCCTGATGCCCTCACGGCTCTTCTTCCTGCTGGCTGTCTTTCTGCCTGGGAGCATGAGCATGAATTCCAGGCTGCTTTCTTCTGGGAGTTGAAGGATTAAGCCCCTGTGGAGCCCACTGGGGAATGCAAACTCATCTATTCACCAGCATCTCTGTAATGTCCAGCTTCCAATGCCGTTAGCTTTGGGATTCTTCAACTCAGTACTAAGAATTGTGAGCAGGCCAGGGAGTGAAGGGCATTGAGGGAACACAGGGAAGAGGCAAAAGGGGGACAAAGAAGGGAAGGGAGGTGGGCAGGGGCGTGGGGGGAGGCCTGAGGACAGATAGCTCTGGGGTTGGAAACCTCACACAACAGGGAAGGCATGGGTTCGTACCTGTTTCGGGTGCCCATGAGTAGGTGGTAAGGCTATCCAAGACCCCATCTGACCAACAAAGAGCTGAGCTAGGGTCAGGTCTGGGAAGGAATTCTGAGGGGTTGTGTTTTATTTCAGTTTGCAACCGTGGCCGCTGACTTGAACAGCTTCCCTGAGAACAACCCCATCCAGATCACTGTGCAGCGCAAGGAACCCCAGAGGAAAACCGTGTCCCTAGGGCTGGAGGACATGCGGAAGCTCGAAGATCTGGAATACCTATTTCCCTACTAAGGAGGGCCCCAGGAAGCCCCTCACCTACCTTCAGCTTTAGCCCAGGGCTCTCAGGAACCAGAATCGTGAGATGGGACCACCAGCACCATGCCAGGAACTGCTGACTAGCCCGCCCAGGGGCTGGTGGTGGTGGTCCCCAAACTCCACCCCTGGGTTGGGGCCAAGGCTAGGAGCTCCACTCACCTGGAGACACCAGAGTCCAGGTCAGGTCCGCCACTGCCCACAGCTGCTAGGCATCCCCCTCCCCAGATTCGGGCTGGGTCCAGATCCCTCATTAAAGCACCACAGGTCACCTAGCACCCCGACTTCTGTTTCATGCCAACAGCAGGGTGGGCTGCCATTCACCCTCCTAGCTTCTGCCGGGGCACGGAGTGCAGGTTGGGGGGTAGGGGCCATGAAACACAAGTGTGGCCGGGCAATGGGATCCTATCCCCACCTACTGCTGGGCTCTGCCAACATCATCCCTGTCCCCATGCGAGGAAGAAATGTTACTCAAAGACCAGGAAAGACAGCAATGCTGGACAGAGGTGGTGGCAGCCTGTAGCGTGTCAACATGATTCGAGCTCTGGAAGGACAGGGTGCGAAGTGCGCAGGTTGGGGGCGCGGTCTGATTTCCTCCTGGTTTTTCCTGGATGTGAGGGCACGGACAAACCGTTTAAGCTCCCCGGGCTGGTTCAGGGACGCGAGAACCCTACAAGCGTGACTGCAGAGTTACCGTGAGGCTCATGGGAGTGTCCTCATGGGAGGACAAGTGCCCATGCAGGGTAGGCACTCGGCAGTCGGCGCCCCTCCTTTGCCCTTCGTGCAGCCTCCGTGCAGAGACGTGCAAGGTGGAGACTGAGAAGCCGAGCGTGAGTGCAGGGTGGGGGGAGGGACAAGAGGTTAGAAACGCCATGGCCCTGGGCGGTCTGTACAAGGACAGTTTAGAATCCACCCTGAGCAGATCGCCTGAGCATTGAAACAGGAGAAAGTGTTGGCAGGATGCTTGGAAGGCAAGATCTTGGTCGAGAGTCTGAGGACATCCGGTAGGGATTCCCTTCATTCCATGAAAGCCGTCCTCGGCCAAAGAACCATTTTCCCCTGTCACGCCACACCCCCTGCTGCTGCAGCTCTCACCCCTGCACGCTCCGGGACAGCTGGGACAGCTGTCGCCTTCCGCTCTGTACCCCGAGAGCCCAGCACAGTGCTCGCCGCGCCGCGGGACCTCGGGAGATGTGCCATGTGGGAGAGGCGCGGAGGAGAGCAGCCCTCGAGCAGCCCTGGCCCACACAGCTCCCTGCCGTGACGGAGGTGGTCTGATCCATGCTGTCCTAGCCGTACGCTAGCGTCGCAGGACCGCATTCCTAGCCGTCCAGGGAAACAGAGACAGCGCATGTGGCTGGTGTCTACCATACTGGACAGCGCAGGCTCAGGTTTTCCTCTGGCCACTCTCCTGGGCTTCAGCCGGTCTTCCCCGCCTCCACCGGCCTCTCCCTCGTGGGCACAGGGGAAAGAGATGAAAGGCAACTTCGGGGTCAGCAGGGTTTCGGTGCAGCCCAGAGGGAAGGGTTAGACAAACTGACTCAGCATAGTCCTCCAGTGAGCCTTGGGATTCTAGGACAAGGAACGACAACCCGAACACACAAAACAGAAGTGATTTATTTGGTCACAGAATCTCGGGTCTGACGCTGAGTAAAAAGAACACTTAGGAAAGAAGGGGCGGCAGCAGGGCTCCAGTCATTGCCTGGCCCCCCACCACCAGCAAGGTACAGAGTGATGGCCAACGGCTGAGCTCACTGGTAGTCCCCCGTGACCTCTGCTCTCCTGCTCTGGGGAGGGACCCCACTGGGGGCTGTCCAAGGGCAGCAGGCCATGCTCATTTGCAGGGTCACCACCCTGGCCTTGGGTCTGTGTCAGGGCAGGCAGCTGGCAGCAGCAGGTCCAGGTGGGGGTCCCAGAGAACTTGGGGTTTCTCATCTCCTCCATCTGTGCAGAAGGGGAGGGAACAGCATGGAGATCCCATCTTGGGAAAGGGAGGCTGCCATATCATCCCAGGAGCCCACGACAGGGGAGAGCTTGTGGTTCACTCAGTCATCAAGAGCCTGGCTACCATCTCTGCTCTAACTACCCAAACTCAGGCGAGACGCCCGCTGCCTGCCCCGGCCAAGACCTCATCCCAGGGCCTGGCTGCTCGGATGCCCACCGGGGGCATCTAATGGCAAACAACGACTATTCTTTACAAGTACACACACTTCAGCTTCCCAAGTGTGTTCACCTCCTATCTTGGAACGTCCCGTCTACCGAGGCTTGGTAACCCCCAGGAGGCAGGTGAAGCATGCTCCCTAAGACTGCGCAGTGAAAGCCAGAGCCAGGACTGGAACGGAGAACCATACTGCCTCTTGCTGGAGGGCCCCTGGGCTCGCCCCCTGGAGAGCACTGTCAGGGTCTCCCATATTCCCTGTAATTCCGCAGCCCTCCCTTTTAACCACCGAGAGAACCTGACACCACACACTGTCTTCGGCCCCTGGAGAGCGCTTGGAATTCTCCACCCAAAGGGAAAGGTGCAAAGAGTGACCGACTTAACGGCAGGGGAGCCAAGCACACACTCACATCCGGAGGCATTTGTCCTTGCCACCACTTGCCACCCTCTGGCCATCTGGACTCCAGTCGACAGCATACACCTAACCCGAGGTGGGGGTTGGGGGAGCCAGGTCAGTGAGGAGGGTGGGGGGCAGGAGGGCCAGGCTTCAAGCCCACCACCCGCCCCACCTCTGCTCACAAGGGTCCAGCCATACCTCATCTGCGTGGCCTGGCAGGTCCGCCGCCAGCTTCCGGGCCTTCACATCCCACACCTTCAGCGTGCTGTCGCTGCTGCCGCTGACCAGGAGCCGGCTATCGGCTGACCACGCGATCTGGTACACAGCAGCCACGTGGCCACGCAGGGAAGCCAGGTACCTGAGCCAGGAAAAGGTGATGATGGGTATTAGATCTTCAAACATGTCTGAAGGGGGCCCCTACGCCCACAGCAGTGGTTCTCAACCTTAGCTGCCCATGAGAATTACCGGGGAACGTTTACAAAATCTTACTGCCTAGCCCCTACCCCAGTGTGATCATTACCAAGGTCATAACGATTTTATAAAACTTTTCCAAATGAGCTGCTTCTAGGGTGCCTCTTGCCAGGGCTCTGTACCTGGACAACTTTGCATGACTTAGAATCCAACGGAGCCATCTGCTTAGCCCATCTGTCTGATACCCCCCTAGCACAAGGTGCCTGCTGGCAGGTGGCATGGAGTAAAAGGGGGCCAGGCCCACCTGGAACTTTCAGAGCAATACAGATCAGCTACGTCTATTTGGACAAGATTAGGCCTCTCTGGGACTCTGTTTCCTATCTTGAAAAAAAAGGGCTGCCATGTGGCTCCAGCAGGGGTCTCCCTCATCCCTGTTCTCTTCTTGCCTGTGCCTCTGCCTCTCCTGTGACCTCATTAACCTCAAGGCCACGGTGCCTCATTACACCAGTGCTTCTCAGACTTTAACGGGAGCAGAATCACCTGGTGACCTTATGCAAATGCAGATTCTGAGATTCACAAGGTCAGGGTGGGGCCCGAGGTTCTGCATTGCTATCAAGCTCCCAGATGCTGCTGCAGCTGCCGGTGTGTAGACCACACTTTGAGGAGGGCCAGGAAATAATTACACCTCAAACCTATACTTCTGCCACATGCCTGGCCATCTTAAGATCATTTCTCTCCTTTGATATGAAAGGAGCTAGCATTTCAGTGCCCATATATTGCCAGTCCTAAATATACCATCTCACTTAACCCTGGTAATGAAGCTGAGAGGTAGGGTCTGCATATTACAAAAGAGGAAACAAAGCCTCAGAAAGTCTAGATGCTTGCGAAGGCCACACAGCCAGGAAGTGGCAGAGCCAAGCTCCTTCCAGAGGACTAGGGCCCTTCCTCTCCACGCCCTCACTCACCTGCCCGTCCTGCCGTCCCAGAGTTTGACGGACTTGTCGAAGGAGGCACTGGCGACAGTGCGGGAGTCAGGGGAGAAGAGCACCTGGTTGATGAGGGCCTGGTGTCCCGTCATCCGTGCAAGGGGCTTCTTGTCCTCTGCTGGGGACCACAGGAATAAGGTGAAGTCGTCTGAGCCAGACACCAGCCTCTCTGGGCCCTGGCCCTAGGAGAGGCAGAAAGCACACCGTGTTGGACGTGGCCTCAGACAGGAGAGCCCGACCTCGGCAGCAAACACACCACTGATTACCCCACACCAGCACAGAGGCCGGCACTAGGAGAAATGAGGCCTGGCCAGCTACCAACTCACATGGGGTCCCTGGCAAGTCACTGCCCCCAAAAGGAAGCTTTATGCACATGGAATGGTTTCTAATCATTGTACACAATTACAAGAAAAAGCAAGGTACAGAATAGTGTGTTAAAAAAGGGAAGGACTGGGGCGCCTGGATGGTTCAGTTGGTTAAGCGTTCGACTCTTGATTTCGGCTCAGGTCATGATCTCAGGGTCGTAGAATTGAGCCCTGAGATGGGTCTGTGCTGGGCGTGGAGCCTGCTTAAGATTCTCTCTCTCCTCTGCAAACCACCCCCTTCCCTCTCTCTCTCTCAAAAGAAAAAAGGATTTTATATGTGGGTTTGTATGCATGTGTATGTATGAAGTCTCTGGAAGGAAACACAGGATACTAGTAGCACACGGTGCTTCCAGAAGGAATGGAAGGGCAACAGAGACGCGAGACTTTTTCACTATCTACCTTTTTGTGTTCTTTGGTCCTTGGACCACATAAATGTGTTACTTTTTTTTTTTTTTTAAGATTTATTCATTTATTTATGAGAGAGCACAAGATGGGGGAAGGTCAGAGGGAGAAGCAGGCTTCCCGCTGAGCAGGGAGCCCGATGCGGGACTCGATCCCGGGACTCCAGGATCATGACCTGAACCGAAGGCAGTTGCTTAACTGACTGAGCCACCCAGGTGCCCTTAAATGTGGTACTTTAAATAAAATAAAAAAGAGGGGCA